AAAATTTATCCAAGTCAACTACAAGAACATTTTAAATAAATGTTTGTAATATAATTGATAGATGTATGTTCATGATAATGTTATAAATTTAGTAAACATGAAAATAAAGAATAAAATAATTTTAAGTAATATAAATTTAAATAGCAATAAGCATAAAGGTGACAACAATTACTTCACCATTTTTATGGAAAAATTAATTACAAAGTATACCAAAGAAATTTATTAAAATGAAAATTGTATATACATGGTTTTTATTGCAGTAGTACTCATGGTTACATTACATGGAGAAGGTTAGAGACAGTTTCTTATATATATAGATATCAGTGAATAAACCAGCTACTATGAGCATAGTTTTTAAATTCAAATTGACTGAAACTATTTCACATAACGCATTTTCTTCGCATCAAAAAAAGGAAAAAGGGAAAAGTTAAACATGTCACCCAACTTTGTAAAACAGATATTCTTTTTTTATGTATAGGTTTCTATGAAGTACAAAAGCTCTGAGATTTTCTTCTCTTTGCAAGAAAACTTAGCTTGTTTCGCTCTCAAAGATAGAGAAGATGTGAGTCTCAGGGACCAAAATGTTAGACCTGAATTACCTAAAAAGTGGCAAACAGCGGGAACATATTTGTGACAGCCTGCATACAAAGTAAGCCTTACCATCTGGCTCATTCTACACGTTTCTGAAAGGACACAGAAGGATCATGTGTGCTGTGTATGAACTTGAAGAAAAATAGGAAAGAACATGTTTAAAAGAAATGAAAGACTGTATTTGATAAACACAAAGATTATCATATTATGTCATATGTGTGTATCTGCATTTATTTACAGTGAGATATATATATATATGCATCTTCATCCATTTACAGTGGTATCTTCATGTAAAGTGGAAGCTACAAATCCCCCAATATTTCAATACTGTTTTTTGTAGGACTCGCTATGTGTGACCCATAATTAAAAATTGCTCAGTTCCATCCATAGTCATGAACCTACCTCCAATTGACATCAGGGAAAATTTAATTCCCACGAATGTAGTCTCTCTGAGTATATTAACCACACTTAAGGTAGGCGCCACGCCCAGCAGTTGACGGCCAACACCAAAGGAACATTTGTGTAGACTTCCTGTCTCATATTGTTTTTACATTTGTCTGTTTGTTTGTTTATTTATTTATTTGTTTGTTTATTTATTTATTGTCTTACTGAACTTTTACTTATATTTATGGTTCCCAATTTTGTGTGTTATGGATTTAGGTTTTTTTTCCCCCCTTTCATTTATTTGTTTATTTAATCATTTACAGCATGGACTCAGATATTTATTTCTGACTTGGTCTTGTATTCCAACACTGTTTTGTTAACTCTAACAGTTGGTCTAACTTTGCCCATTACGGCTCCTTCAATGGATGGCTTCATCCTTTTGATGTGGTCCTATTATTGAGATTATTATTTTTCTCTTTTTAGCAGGAGAAACTTATTTTTACTTTCTGGTACTATAAACTTTTTTTCAGAAACCTTTTGTACCTTCCTGGGCAAGGCCTAGTATGATCTCTTTTTTCCCATGAATCCCTCATTTCTTTTAATGTAAAAGTACTAGAAACCAAGAGTTATATTGGAAATCAGAGGTTTTTCCTGTAGCCAAAAGAAATAAGACATTCTTTTGAGTTAAGCTTGTGTCACTTGTTTCTCACTTCAGAGAACAAGTTGACTCTGTTTGAATTACTTGGTGAAGGAATATGGGAAAAATGGGTTTTCAAATGGATGCTAGTGCAAAAAGAAAAAAAAATAGGTAGTGTATGGTTGAAAAAAACGATAATTTTAGCACAATTGCTACTATTTCTATGAATTCAGAAATTCTAAGCCTGACTACCACGTACTGAAAGAAAATTAAAAAAAAAAAAGCTTCTTGGATAAAAAGGTGCAACAAGAAACGGCTTGGTCTGTATTGGTAGCAAATGAATGCCACTATCTTTGAAAGCTGAATTGTACTTTGGAACACATTTGCATGTATTTTTTTCTGCTTTGAAACTATACACGTGCAAAGTGCATTCACTGTCAGATTGCTTTCTGGTTTTGCTTTTAAAAATAATTTCACTTTTGCATAAAAGGTACATTTAGCCTGAGAGGAGATCAAATTTGTTGTCCTTTGTAATTGTTGCTTCATTTTGACTTTCTCCACTGTTTTCTTTGTTTACCTCTTTCAGGAGCACACTTGAAGCAAAAAGCAGTTTCCTGCTCATTCATCAAAATGCTAAGGCACTTGGCTTCTTCTTCTTTTTTTAAATACTCACTTCAAGAAAATATGTAAAATATAACAAAAATTTAAACATCCTTCAGATATAAATCAAATGACAATTGTGATCTAAAAGGTTTGTGTGTGTGTCCTCTTTATTTTTCAATTTTTTTAAAAATTAGACTTATATGTCATGTGTGTATGTTCTGGCCCTTATGCATATGTAGAAGTCAGAAGACAATTTGAATAACTCAGTTTTCTCCTTCTACTTATGGGAGTGTTCTGACAGTAAGATTTCCCCACCACCTTTACATTAAAGCAGAATCTAAAGACTAGCAATTCCAGAGCATAGCAAAGCAGCTTTCAAATCCTTTTTTTTAAAGACCTAGCACTTCTAAGAGAATAGCAGTCATTACAACTTTCCTTTTTCTAAAATCTAAAAGCTCATTGTTTGTTTTCATGTTAAGTATTTTTTAAAAAATCAACTTGTTCTTTAAACATTGTTTATCCACTGTAGAGATCAAAGGGCTTACACAATTAAAGGCTAAAATTTCTTTTAGTTTGAATTTTCAAAACATTAATGATCGGGTCTTTATAGAGCATACTTTCAGTTATAACTGGCAATACATCTTGGGTGAATTTAAAATTTGAAATCTATTACATGATATAAATGAATTAGTACATCAGTTACTACCTTGGGTATTTGGAAGTCTGACATAATGGACCCACGTATTTACTTTTCGGGGGTTTAAAATACCTCTTTTTTTACTTCTAGATATTTTGACAAGCAACTCTTACTTTACCTTATGCAGTTAGTACTGGCTGTACTCTGTATTTCATGATTCTGTTAAACCATTTATGTTCAAGCGCTGACTATTTCTAAAAGAATTATGCTTTACCAAATAACAGCTCCTATACATTAAGTTCTTTAAATAATCATTTTGAGCTTATCACATAATATTTTAAACACATTTATTTAGATTACTTGTAGAAAATATTTGATATACTGGAAATGATTATAAAAACTCTACATATTTCACTTTTCCCCCATTTACTCTTTATATCTAGATAGATTTTTATAAGTTTTTACAAGAGACCAGGAAGTGGTAGTTTAAGGAGCTTAATGTAACTAAGACAACGAGAAACAACTTGAATATAAACTTGTCCGTAGAAGACAGCAGAGACTTTGTAGCAAAAAACCCACAAAAAGCAAAAAAACAAAAACAAACAAACAAACAAACAAACAAAAAACCCAGAAACATTAGGAGCTCTGAGGAACTCCTCTCCATGGGTTCCTGTTTCTGCTTGTCCTAGGTATCAATAGTGCATGGCCCCGACTATGCCTTACCCAAGTCACTTTTCAGAGCTCACTTTACAGTTAACCACTTTGAGAAATGAGGCCATGCTTCCTTCCAAAACGAAGCGCAGATTCCCCGCAAGTCAGTGGGTCCCCTAGTTTCAGAATTTCTCTTCTTTATTTTTGATTTCTTGCATTTAATAAGCAAGAGTATCTGATGTGAGAAAATGACAGAGACCCTTGAACTGTTTAAATATCATTGTGACCTTTATTCTAAAACTAAAAACCAAGACAAAACAAGTTTAATAGAAACAGCTCATATTTCTTATTGCTGTAGGCTCTGTATAGGTTTCTAATGCTCTGTTGGTTCGTAGCTAATAGAAACACTTGAGGTAGCTGAGATTATGGTAAGTTTAAAATTAAGGAGACAGTTACTGGTGTGCCTGTAGAGAGGAAGTGATGGAAACAGACCTAGTTTTGCTTCTGGCTTCTAACACTCAGGTTCTCAATCACCACCAAGGAAGGTACCAGTTTTTCTTTATTTTTTATTTATTTTGAATGTAGAAGAAAAAAAAAGGATCTGAAAGATACATACATTAAATACACCCGAAGAAGTTCCTGTAGCAGCCATAAGGCATGATTGGACAAGCTAGTTAATTCTCTCTTTCTCCCCTCACCACTCTCCCCTCCTCCACTCTGTCTTTGTTGCATTCCCCCTTTTTGTTTCCTCCCTTTCCTCCTGGCCACCTTCCCTCAGAGGAAGCACATTAGCTCTTAACTACATTTCCTAGCCCAAATATCACCCATTTAAACTTTATGATAGGGTCACAGGTAGCTCATAATTTTTTATGGATGTGCGTATACTTCAGCAAAAATCAATGGTATAATCTGATGCGGCTGGGACTATTCCAAGTCTGTGTGTATGAAGCCACGGTCAAAACAGATGTCTACATAAAGGAATTAAAAGGTTGCTAGAAAGGTTGTGATACAGGTAAGTACTCTCGTCCTTCATTGCCAAGGATCTGAGGAACATTTGGCAGATCCTCAGCTGGCCAATAACTTTCCCCCTTTCTCTCTATATACAGAGGCAATAATCCTCCCCTTTCTTAGGTCTGCTCTACCTCAGAAACATCTGGGATTCTCTACACATCTAAAACTTGAGGACCGACGTTTGGCTTGTGAGAAACAAGAGAAAAGGAAAGCAATAAAGAAAAAAAAGAAATGAGAAAGAATGCTGTCAAGGAAAAACAAAACAAGCAACAACAACCAAATCCAGATGAAAACAAAACCTCCAAGCAAGCAGCCTGTGAGAATGTAACCTCATCTCCTGGCTTGTAGTGCCTCGTCTCCTCCACAAGCTGCGTGGGGCGTCTGGGGTAACCAGGCAACGCGTTGCCGTAGTGACTGCGGACGCGCAGGCCCCGGCCTTAGGGCTCTGGGCCGGTCTCGGGTGAAGGGTCGCGGGGTATCGCGAGAGTTGCCAGGCCAGCCGGTTGCAGGCATGGCTGCCCAGCGTGGGGTGCCGCCGATGCGGATGCTGGAGGAGGCGCTGGGCATCAGTTTGACATCCTCGGGCGACACGCCAGAGCCGGTGGCCGCAGACGGTGCCTACTACCTGGAGCGTATCCTTCTGGCGGACGCCGGGCTGTCGGGTGACCGACGGGGCCCGCGAAGGGGCTTCCGGTGGGGGCGCCCGTGGACCCCACGTGGTGCAGGGTCTCCGGGGCTTCCAGGTGGAGCCCCTGCTGGCCCAGCGCTGTCGCAGCCGTTCACTGCAGTCATTTGAGGAGTGTGTCTGTGGTTGGGCACGAGCCCAGTACGGAAGCCTTCCAGGACCACGTCCGTCCTTCACACTCTGACCTGTAGGATTGAGGGCTGTTGTTGACATCGAAGTGGCTCAAGGAGTTGGTTTAACTCTCCCGTCCGTCCAAACAACAACAAATCCTCCGAAAACCTTCGCTAGTAACGTCCCTCAGGTGTTGAGATAGTAAGGGAGACCTTTGTCTCCGGGCTTTAGACAATGGAAGCCCAGACCACACCTATGGTCTTGCACCAGGTTGGGTCTGATGGTGCACTCCTAAATAATTGGCCTCCATAGGGCTGGCTACCTTCTTTTGTAGTTTTGGTTTTGGCTATTTAGTGATAACACTGATGAATATCTCCCCCTCTGCTCCCCCGGCCATTGAGCTACTAAATGTTGGTGGAATGAGCTGAGAAATGCTTGGAAGAAAGCAACAGAGCATGATGAGCAGGAGGTAACCAGAAGTGAATAATTTTATGTGTATGATTAGGCTCGCTAACATTTTTGTAAGGCCTTAGACTTCCCTTCACTAGGTAGGTACACTAAGTATTCTGGATTAGTGTTTTCAGTGTTTGTAACTAAGAGCCATCTAACTTTTTTTTCTTCCAGTAAATAAAAGAAAGATGCCTAAGTATAAAGATGTCAAAGACACTAAAAATCTCCCTTTATTTTTTGCATGGTTATAATCCTTTGTGTCTTAATTCAAGATCTCACTGGATCAGTGATCCGTTTTGTGAGCTTTAGCAGGCTCAGTTATGCAGAAAATATGCAGTATACTGGATACAAGATGCTTTCTACAGGATTTAAGTCTTGAAATCAATGTGAATAAAATATGTGGGTGCCTTAGTGTCATGAATGAGTCTTTATAATCTGCTTCAGAATTTTCCTTTTAAAGTTAAAAAAATAATTCAACTTATTATGTCTGAATTCATGTGTTTCAAATATAAAGTGTCCTTGCCAGTGAATTCCAGCAAAACACATTTGTAAAATTTTTGTTTTCATGGAAATGATTTCTCTAGACATAGCTTAATTAACACGAGACTGTTTGATAACATTTTGAAGCTATATTTATAAAGTAAATACAGACTGCTATACAATGAACAAGAAAATAAGATTTATGGAATTTTCCAGAAGAGCATTGAATTAAAACTACAATATATTTCAGTTTACATACCCATCTCTTTTTAAAATAAACATTTTTCATTTCCCCAGCTTCTCCCAGATCCTGCCCATCTCCCTCTTCATTCAAGTTTATGGTCCCTCCAAAACAAGAGTAAAAAACAAAAATAAGATATGAAGTTGACAAAAAGTAAAAACAGCAATGCCCCTCCCCCCAAAAAACCCACAAAAATTGAAAGTCAAAACATAAAGGAGAAGCAGAAGGGAGCAAGGGAGATGGAGAAGGATTATTTGTCCTGGAGGGACAAAGGGCTGCCTCTGGATAGAGAAGAGACAGATGTGGCGGCTCATAGGAAAATGGCAGTTTATAAAGGTACAAGGGGAAAACTCCATGTTAGGATGAGGTGTTTACTTTTAATTGGCCATGTTAATTAGGTAAGCCAAAGGGATGGACCTTGGTAGTCAGTCTCAGGAGGAGGAAGTGGCTGGCTTTAGGAATGTAGTCTAATGGTTTTTAGCAAGGGAGGAAGGGCAAGGCCTGCTAGAGCCATGTTGGCCATGCTCAGGCAGGCTAGAGTTCCTTAAAAAACAAATAGGTAAAAGGCCAGTAAGACAGAAATCTCAAACAGAAATAAAATCAACATGTCCACAAAAGTACCTTTGAGTTCATTTTGTGTTTACAGCTACTCCAGGGCATCCAGTCTGACCTGGGATGTAGAACATGGTGTCAGTGCACAACTGGAGAAAACAGATTATCCCTTTGCCAACTGGTATAAATTGCAGATGTCTTCTTAGTTAGTTGGGGGTGTGGCCCTGTGTCTACATCCCCTCTCAGTGGTGGGACCCCATCTGACTTGCGCAGGGTTTGTGTGTTTGGCCACACCCTTTCTGAGTCCATGTGTTACACACTGATCTTACCAAAGTGCCTTAAGTCAAGGTTGCAAATGTAAGCAAATCTAATTTTCAGGATGTTATTACCAAATTCATTAATTACCTAGTGTCTCTGCTTTTCTTCCATCTCTTCATGGTTGGCTAATTACTATTTCATGTCTCAACCAAAGGATAGCCAGGGGATAGTAAAGTCAAACATTTAACCAGTTGATTTTGTTATATTCAGTGTTCAGAGAAGAGGTTTAGTCATGGGAGAGGCTTTAACTCTTAGTCAAAATGAAGTTTCAGGATTAATTGCGAATGCCAATTATCCTTGTATCCCTAGGCTCTCTTCATGTGAATAATTAGGAATTGATAGTATAATGTTATTTGACATTGTTTTGTAAGGCAATTATGATAGTTGCTGAAGTGAGACTTTCTTGGGCTTAAAGTCTATGGCTAAATAGAAATCATAATATGCATAAGTGAATCAGAACTCCAGTGTCTCTTACCTTGCACATATATGTAATCATCTCTAATTTAGTGCATTTGGCCCTAGATGGCTGTTGCAGTTTATGTCATACTTCTCGGTACTAGGTAATAACCTGCCAGGATTGAAAAAGGCTTTTGGAAGAGGTTCACTTGGATTCTCCAGGAAATCATCCTCTGCCCTTCTTAGACATCCAGACATACAAGAAACACACGTATAGACTAATGTGGCCAAAGCCAGCCACAAAGTCAGGACTTGTCATTAGTGTCGTTCATAGTTTCAATTGTTGTACTGGATCATTTTATGTCAACTTGACGGAAGCTAAAGTCATTTGAGAGGAGGGAACCTCAATTAAGAAAATCCTCCCTGGAGATTGGGCTGTAGGCAAGCCTGTAGGGCAGTTTCTTGGGTAGTGATTGATGGGAGAGGACCCAGTCCTTTGTGGGTGGAATTACCTCTGGGCTGGTGGTCCTGACTTCTATAAGAAAGCAGGCTGAGCAAGTCAGTAAGCAGGGCCCTCCATGGTCTCTGCATCACTCCCTGCCTCCTGGTTCCTGTCCTGTTTGAGTTTCTGTCTTGACTTCCTTCAATAATGAACAGTGCTGTGGAAGTATAAGCCAAAGAAGCCCTTTCCTCCTGAATTTGCTTTTTGGTCATGGTGCTTCATCAGAGCAATAGAAACCCTAAGTAGGACCGTTGTCAACTTGTTATACATAGAAAGAGGGAACCTTAGTTCAAGAACGGTATGGATCAGTTTTCCTGTGGCCATGTCAACAGAGCACCTTCCTTCCCTCCCTCCTTCCTTCCTTCCTTCCTTCCTTCCTTCCTTCCTTCCTTCCTTCCTTCCTTCCTCCTTCCCTCCCTCCCTCCCTTCCTCCCTCCTTGCTCCTTCCCTCCCTCCCTCCCTCCCTTCCTCCCTCCCTATCTTTTTCTTTCTCTTTGTCTTTCTTTATCTCTCCTTCCTTCTTTCCTTCCTTCCTTCCTTCCTTCCTTCCTTCCTTCCTTCCTTCCTTC